CCCATGAGCCTTTGCTCCGGTTCCCCCTGGACCCTCCTTCTTCCCTGCTTTCCCCAGGGGTTCTCCTCTCCGAAAGGGGGCCTCCTCCTCCCCCATAGCTCTTCCCTTCGGATCCTCCTTCTTCCCTGCTTTCCCCAGGGGTTCTCCTCTCCGAAAGGGGGCCTCCTCCTCCTCCATAGCTCTTTCCTTCCCCCCTGAGCTCCCCATGGCCCCTGCCCCTCCCTTTCTTCCCTTGAGCTCCCTATGGTCCCTCCCACCCCTTCCCTGAGCTCCCCCTGACCCTGCCACCCCTCACCATTCCTTGGGCTGCTCCCCCATGGCCCCTCCCCCTGGATAGTAGAATTCCTCTGTAGATCTCCAGCTCTAACCCCTGCCACACCCCTCGCCTCCCTTCCCAAGACAGCAGAGCTCCACTACAGACCCCTTCCACCCTCCCCAGGGTTTCTAATGCCCCCCCTTGGCCATCTGCTTCCTCCTCTCTCTTCCCCTCCCCCATCCTTCCTCTACCTCCCCCTTGGGTCTTCCTCACCATGTGCTCATATGGCCCAAGGGAGATCCTCACCCCACCCCTATACCATCCCTGAGGGGTGGGTTGATCCTTTCCACCCAAGCTGCAGGAAACACAGGAGCTGGAGGAGCTTAGACTCCGCAATGCACCAGACTCCAATGCACGGGGCCTTAGGAACAGATCAACCAGCGCTGTTATCTGTGTAGTACAGCAGATGGGTGGGCTGAGCAGGGAACTACAGTAGTAGGGCCGTGCCTTTCCACACCCACAATTTTACAGTGAGGAGGAGCCAGTAACATATAAATGGTTAGTCACAAGGGTGTGGATGTTTAAGTAATTGCTTTTCACTATAGCATTTAAGCAGAGGCCTTTCCTGTGCTGCATGGGCAAACCCACGGCACTTACTATATGGTAAAGCTTGCCTAAGAGGTCTTCAATCTTCCCCTCCCCCATTCTCAAATTGTGTTGCAATGTCCCAACCTGGCACTGAATCCTTGGGCTCTTCTCACCCTCCTCGACAGTAGAGCTCATGCTTTCTCTCTCTCTCACACACACCCTGACTCCAGCAAGCTCAGGCCCTGTTCTCCCCTCCAACAGTGGAGCTCATGCTTTCTCTCTCTCACACACACACACCCTGACTCCAGCAAGCTCAGGCCCTGTTCTCCCCTCCTGGGGTCATGTAATTTTTGTTGTCCAAAGGGGGCAGAGGGTGCAATGTAATTTGCAAACTTCTGGGGTAGCCTTTTATGTCCTAATCTTAATGGAAGAGATGGATGCAGCTGCTTGGAAGCTGTTAGGAACAGGGACCGTCATGAAAGGTATATATTATTTTAACAATATTTCACAGTTTGGTGCTTTTCATCCTTATGGCATGTCTTTGCTACAAGATGAATCAAGGGGCTGCAGTTAATTCAGCAGGGGTCAATTTCTTGTCTAGAATAGATGCAATTAATCGACCAACTTTCCCATCAACTCCAGAATCACCAGAACTAGAATGGTCAGGGAAGACAACGGGAGAGCACCAGCTGTCAGCTTGCTGCTGTGAAGATACTACATTAAGCAGACCTAATGTAGCTGACCTCTACTTCAGCTACATTATTCATGTAACTGAAGTTGCATCATTTAGGTTGACAGCCCACCAGTCTCAACAAAGCCTTAGGTCTCCTAGTCCTTTGCAAAGATGTTGTACTCGCTTGTGTCCTTAACGGCTGCACCTGTGTCAATTTATTGCCTTTGGCTTCACCCCCAAGTTTAACATTAAGCTCCCAAGGTGGGCAGAAAAACCATTCACACTTTTTCTTCAAAAACCTCTCTGCTGAGGTGACACAGCAAGTTTTGAACATGGCATATTTCTCACATGCCAACCCCCTCAACGTCTGAGCCAAATCCCAAATGTAACAGCACAGGAGCGGTTTTCTTGAAGGGGACTGCCCGGCACCTTTCCTGTAGGCCACAGGGCTGGCCTCTTTGCAGTAGAACTGAGCAGTCTCAGCTGGATAACTGTTCTAGGGAGCACGGCAGGGAGCCCTAACTCTGACACCAGCCCAGGCATCTACACTATTTTATAGTAGACCAGGCCCATCACAGCTGCCACAGGCTAGCTGTTTTGTTGCAATGTAGACCTACTAGGAACAAGAGTTTCTCCTTTGCCTTTGAATGTGAAGGCTGCTGGGAGGGTTCCCTATTTGGGACTTGCCTTCATTCCACAGTGGCTCCAGTATTGTCACTCAAGCAAGGGACCACATAGCTAGTGATTGGACAAGCAGAAGAAAATTCAAAAGCTTCTGGGGGTAGCCAAGTTAGTCTGTATAGGATAAACTTAAAAAACAACACATGGTCTGGTAGCACTTTAAAGACTAACAAAACATGTAGATGGTATCATGAGCTTTGGTGGGCACAGCCCACTTCTTCCTAGGACCAGTTGTAACTCAAGTTACTGTGCCCTCACCCTGACACTAGCTGGACCACCCACAGCACTTGAGCTTAACCCATTGATGGGCCAATTAGCTGGTGCTTAAGGCAACCTTAGTTTGCATGAGGGGTGAAAATGCAGGAACAAACCATTAGACAAAACTCTATTTCTAGTTCCCACTAACAATGCAGGAAAGCCCAAGAAGCTGGCAATATCTGTGAGCTCATTACACCTACCTACTGTTAGCAGCTGTTGCATCAAGTAGAGATGTGG